CTACTGTAAAAGCTTTACCTCGACCACAAGCATTAACCCATCTAGTACATCTCTCGAGTCCTTGGGACTTCTTTGGGAACGGTAGAAATATCGGTTTACCTTCCTGCAATCTCTTCTTTAGCGCCGGGTGAAGCAAATCAGGATATCTAGAATCACTCTTACACTCTCCCCAACAGCAGTGCTTTGTCGTGACCATTTACAGCACAAAATATTCGACAACAACTATATATTCTTTCCTTCGACTCACTATTCTTTAGCAATGTTTGTCCGACCTTTGCGGGGGGTCCAAAGTTGACGTAATCTATTTTTAGAACGTCCGCGCATCGCTATTGAGCTGATCCTCTCAGTATATGAAGCAACCTTTGCAGCTGCAAATTGAAAGACTCAGAAAAAATTAAACAGGATTTGAAGCTGTGCCCTTGTTCCAAATCAGACAACAGCAAACCAGTCACTGTTGAAGTAGTTTTTGTAAAACAGCTTTTTTCTTACCTCTGTAGTATAATACAACAAGAAGTGCTGACAGTTTGACTGAAAGCATGTTGGCAGCCAAGCTACAGCTGTGTATCACACTTTCAAGCCAATTGAAGCATGGAACAAGGTGTTATTTCTTTAAATGAAACTCTTCTTTATTTTTCAGAGAGTTATGCAGAGTTCAATATTTCTACTATTAAGGTTTTTCTTACGAGTTGATGGAGTATTGGTTAGAATAAATGATACAAGATTGTACCACGAGGTATGTAATTGCTGATGAATTATTTAATTTGATTTAATTTATTAATTTGACATTGGACTGAAAGCCTTACAGGTTTAGGACCCAACAACAAGGTAACTGATTGATCCATTTAGAATTTGGAAGTTGGTTTTTGTGGAGGTAGGAAAACTTGAAAAAGTGGAGATAAAACCTCGAAGCACAGGAAAGAACCAACAAACAACTCTACTCACATACATGTATGACACCTACATCTGTAGCCAGGCAGGGCTGGCACAACTCATATCACATTGGTGAGAGGTGAACGAACTTAACACTGTGCCACCTTTGCTTGCAAATGCGTAATAGTAATTCCTTTACTTAAATATGACAATTGACTCACACCAAATGCTTCCCCAGTTTTGAAATTATGCTTTGTCATTACTTTATTGTGTTACTAAACTGTAAATTTTATTGTCAGGCTGGAACTAATTTCATTCTGAGAGAATATACATCTAAAGAGAAACCAGTTTCTAAATTAAAGGTAAGCTTTTATGGCAATTAGTCTGTCTGTCTGTCTGTCTGTATGTATGTATGTATTTATGTCAACGTAGTGGTAGTACATTTTCCTCTCGCCTCTGGGGTCTCAGACTCACTTCCTAGACTCAGTTTCACACCCCAGTAGAGTTTTTTGGGATCTCTTCCTTGATTTGAGGGTAGGGGGTCGATGTTCTCCAGGTTTCGTTAGCAAAAGTCACCCTACAGAATTTTTATTAAGGGTCAGAGATCTGAGAATGCTCTAGTAAGTGAGCAAGATTCTCTGCTATAAACTACCATATGATCTTTTCCTATTATTTCAAAACTTAATGTACCCTGGTCCCAGAGGTTTCTCATAGTTTTTTTTTTCTCTGTAAAATCGCCGCCAAGTGATTTTACAGAGAGAGAAAAAATTACGAGAAACTTCTGGGACCAGGGTAAACTTAATGAAAACCCTGACCCAAAACATTAGTTGAATCTACTGGGTAAGCTAGCCATGCCCTGAACTCCATTGATAATTTGTGATACTTTCTTACTCAATCTTATAGAAATGAGTGTTTATTGTGACCATTTTTCCCCCAGGGTGCCCTGACTGATCCAACCGCGTTAAGTGATCAGCTCGACTTGGTAAAAGAAGTTTATGAAATATTGGCGTTTCCTGAAAACGTCAATGCTACTGCTGGGGTAGAAACTTCTAAATAACCACTGATAATCTTTAGTATTATCTATTCTGGAGATGCAGAATGGCTTGCATCATGAGGCTGTTTGAGGGGACACTATATTAATATATACAGGGCTTCTGACAGGATGCGGGAAAAAAAATTGAAATTTTACCTTGATTTTGCTTCTTTATTTGACACTGGTCTTGTTTATCTCAGGTTTTTAAATCCACACGTGTAATCGTCGTGTTCTTCGCACTACATGCAATTCTTCTCGATATGCTTCTCTCCAAAACATTGCTTTGAATGTTTTTTTTTCGAAACCTTAAATTTATGATCTGTTTTTGAAGCTCAACAAAAAATCTYAACGTTATTTACCACCTCACCTCACCTTGCACAACAATCGTTTGCATATTCGTAGTTAATAGATTATCTATTATGTACGCCTTATTATAGGAAATTAACTCGCTCCACAAAATCAAAAATCCTTAAATAGCATAATTTAAGTCGTAATGATGAAAAGGTAAATTATACACCGTGAAAAGATGAAAAAACTTACTGACGTTTCGGACGCTTGTTTTACTCCGACGAAGGACTAGCGTCCGAAGCGTCAGTAAGTTTTTTCATCTTTTCACGGTGTAYAATTTACCTTTTCATCATTACTGTTTCATTAGAAACACCGACGCAGCTCACACTAGTTTTTAGCTAGTTATATCTTTCTAATAATTTAAGTCGTCTTAATTTCTTCAATTTTATCTATGATGTATTTGCTTTTGAAATATTATATTTTTAAAACTGAAAATCACAGTGCCAGTTAAGCTAACCCTAGGCTAAAATATACTTGTTTACGATGGTAACGATTAACGATCGTAATCAGTTTCTAGACATCAAAAGACTCCGCATTTGCCTACATGTAATTGTCTCGGGGTGCTATTTTACGCGCGAAAATCTTCTTTTACCAGAACTCTCATTTGCTATCTATGTCTGCTATTGTTTGACTTCTAGCCAATTAGAGAGTACGTTTTATTTAAGGCTAGTTACCAGGCTCTTTCACGGTTTTTAACTAAGAACGCCTTGTTCCTTTTCATTACACAATGGCTGTTTATTGCTTGAAATTTGGTAAGTAAACAATAAAAAAATTCGTAATTTCATCAAAATAAGAAAACATTATAATACATTTCTTCTTGATTATTAAGTTTTCTTTAGATTTTTGACGAATTATGCGGGATTTTGCCGGATTATGCGGAAATCGTTCGATTGTGCGGAAAAAGGCAAATTATGCGGACCGCACCCGCGCATCCTGTCAGAAGCCCTGTATATAGCATTTTTTTGCTCTCATTAATAGTGAAGAGTGAAAGAAAAGGGATAGGAAACTTTGATTGTTGTGTTATTTTTCAAATTTATTTTGTTGTTTGAAGCAAAAATGTCAACTGACTGACGAAGCGTCCCTCAAAATGGCCGATTAATGTGACTCATTTCCACAACCCTGGAATAGCTAATTGCGTTAATTATATATTATTACCATTTCTTGAGGTAAAATAATATAAAACAGTACTCCTTTGTGGGGTATCCAGGGGATCCTATGGTACCTTACAGCATGCAGGATTCCTTTCTCATTTGCAGTTAACAGTATTTGTAACTTGCATGCGTTAGGGGCAGGAGGCTGGATTTGTTGTGGTAAGGAAAGTCCCCCCCCCCCCCCTACCCCTGCATGGAAAATCCTGATACCTAAGGTGATCGTCACCAATATCCAATATTTTTGCATTGGCACCTACCAACTTTGAACCTCCCATTTCTAAAGAGATTGATTGAAATATTGGCTCAAGTTACCTTAAAGTTATGGCTAACTAATATATTATACAGTAGAACCTCTATTTCAGTAGAGGGCACCCTAGAAGGATTTGTCAATTGGCTGCTAATTATAGGTTGGCTGTCTAACATTATGGTTACCTAATGGAGACTTGTCGTTGCAGTAAATATGTGTTCTCATCAGTATAGTTTGTATGCAGGAATGTATCAAGGCTTCAGGGTACCTGTAACAAACCTTTCATTGGCAGATAACTGGATACTTTTTTATGGAGTAGAGGGAGGGGGGAGGTGATTGTTTGGTAAAGGGGGGATGGCTTATCCAAATATTTTTAGAAACTTTGATCTTTAAATCTAAATAGATCTAAAAATCAAAAAATATATTTAAACAATTATTGGGCAAGACAGTAATAAGAATACATTCCTGTTATAGAAAAATTCAAATTCAGGTTGGAGTACATTTTATAGAAAGAGATACAAGTCATAATGTGTGATGGAGGATAAATAGTTATGTATTCTCAAGGCACCATCATCCAGGCAAAATATTGTCTTTATGTTGCTTTAGAGATGAGAGAAAAAACTACATAGATAAAAGGGGGCAGCTGCCCCAACCTTGTGAAGGGTTTGGTGATCGCTGTGGGGAGGAGGGTGGGGTACTGTAGAGTCCTTTAGGATCTTATAAACCAAGAGGTAAAATAAATATTTAGAAGGAAGGAATTTACACTTGCACGAATTAGATCACTATTTTTTTGCAGGGGGGTGTGGAATGCTTGAATAGTCACATGCTACTGAATTAGGATGCTTCATTGAGCTGGTGCTGGGTGAGAACCGGCCCCCCTCCCCCTTCTCCTCCCCCTTCCCCCTTCTCCTTC